GTTATCCATTCCTCAGTTGATGGACATCTAGGTTGTTTCCATCTTTTGGCTATTGTAAATAGTGCTGCGATGAACATGGGTGTGCATATATCTGTTCTTGCCATGGCTCTCACTTCTTTACCCAAAGCAGATTCTAAGCCAAGAATTTGGGGGCAGATAGTTTTTAGAAGATAATCCCAGAAAGTATGAATGGGCATGTGCGAAAAGTGAGACAAGAAAGACAGAAAAGCAATAAAGAGTAAGTTCATGAGCGGGTTACTCAGTGAATAATGGAGCTCAGTCCTGCTGGAACCCTCTGAGGAAATGTGTAGAAAGCACCTCTGATTGTCCTGCTGACAGACGCAGTAGCCTTGGGAGCTCCCATGACACTGGGAAAACTTTTGGTCAAAGAAGGAAAGAGACACCAGGACTCAAGGTGGAAAGCTACAGTGTGGATGTGAATTGTCCACCATGCCTGAGAGAAACTCAGAGGTGAGCTGAGAAGAGATGGGACGGGTGATCAACAGCAGCTGCCTCAGTACTATTATCTGCATTCTACTGTTGAGGAAACTGAAATATCAGAGACCTTGTAACCTATACTAATCACACAGCTAGTTCCTGCAGAGTGGGATTCAAAATTATGCTTCCCAGCAATGTAGAATGCCAAGGGCTACTCTAACAGGGCCTAGGGGGAAGCCAGAACTCCTCAGGGGGCATTGTTACCTGCACTAAAAAGATATCAGTATAATGAGCTCTTCCATATATGATCTTTCCTCCGGGATCAGCCCTTCCAACATGTATGTGTGATGCAGAGAGAGAGGGCAGCAAAAGTGGGAGCTATTGGATGTCACGACTCAAAGGCTCCCAGTGCCACTAACTCATGCCTAGAAACTTGCCATTAAGATCTCCTCTCCTTAGTAGAAGAAAGTTAGGGTTTTTTCAAGGAGCAATACTTTTGGCAACAAATATATTGAAATTGGTAACAGTCACTCACACCTCAGTGCCAAAAAGTGTTGGGTCTTCTCAGCAGTTGGGACTAGGTAGAGGTGTGAGGAAAGAGGGCTTGTAGCCTGAGGTGGGCAAGATCAGTACGGCTGGGAGCTCACACAGGTGACATAAGAAGGAGTGGTACAGGACATTGAATTCTACATTGACTTACTCCTCTAGTTTTTTTTAACCAGTGGACCACAAGGAATCTTTGCAGAAAAGATCCAGGGAATTTGACTTACACTTTATCTTCTAGGTAACAATCCCAAGGCACTTTGGTAATTATAATTGATCTGCATTTATGAAAGTCCTATGAGAATTAAAGCAGGATTTTTTTTTTTTTAGTAACAGCTTTATTGAGATATAATGCACCTACCATAACTTCACCATTGAAGGTGTACAATTCAGTGCCTTTTATACATTAATAGAATTTTGCAATCATTACCCAATCCGGTTGAGAGCATTCTCATCACCTCAAACAGAAGCCCCATACCTATTAAGAGTAACTTCCATTTCCACCAACCTTCCCAGCCCTAGACAACCAACAATCTATTTTTTGTCTCTATAGATTTGCCTATTCTGGAAATTTCATAGAAATGGAATCTACAATATGTGGTTTTTTGCAACTGACTTCTTTCACTTAGCGTAAAGTTTTCAAGATTCATCCAAGTTGTAGCACACATCCATATGTCATTCCTTCTTCTTGCCCAATAATATTCTATTATAAGGGTTAGATCACATTTATTATGTCCTCTCATCATTTGAATTGTTTCCACTTTTGATTATTATGAATAATGATGATATGAACATTCATATATAAGTTTTCTGTGAACATGTATTTTCATTTCTCTTGGGGACATGCCCATTGCCATCAAGTCAATTCTGACACATGGTGACCCAATGTATTTTAAAATAGAACTAGGCTCCATAGAGTTTTCTTGGCTATAAACTTTACTGAAAGGAGCCCTATTGGCACAGTGTTTAAGCACTTGGCTGCTGACCAAATGGTCAGTGGTTTAAACCCACCAGCCACTCTGTAAGAGAAAAGATGTGGTGATCTACTCCCATAAAGATTACAGCCTAGGAAACCCTATCGGGCAATTCTACTCTGTCCTATATGGTCGCTATGAGTCAGAATTAACTTGATGGCACACAACAACAGCAACAGTAATCTTTACTGAGGCAGATCACCGGGCCTTTCTTCCACAGTGCCACTGGGTGGGTTCGAACCACCAACCTTTCAGTTAGTAGCCAAGAGCAAACCATTTGTGCCATCCTGGGACATTTTCTTGGGTATATACCAGGAGTGATATTGCTAAGTAACATAGAAACTCCATGTTTAAATTTTGAGAAAATGTTAGACTGTTTTCTAAAACAGCTGCACCATTTTACATTTCCATCAGCAATATATAACCAATCCAATTTTTCTCCATCCATTGGCACCCTTGTCAGAAATAAATTAGCTATACATGTGAGTTGATTTCTGTACTCTCAATTCTATTCCATTGATCTGTATGTCTATCCTTACACCAGTACCACAGAGTATTATGATATTTTTTCACAAATAACATGCCCATGTAAATAACACTCACGTGCATTTAACATGCACAGTATGCATAGGAAGTTAATGCACAAGCGGGTTGCACAACCATGCAAAAATTGTATAACACATGTGTTATTCGTGTAAAAACACAGTCTAGTTTTGTGGTAAGTTTTGAAGTCAAGAAGTATGAATCCTCCAATTTTGTTCTTTTTCAAGATTGTTTTGGCTATTCTGGGTATTTTGTATTTCCGTATGAATTCTGTGATCAGTCTGTCAATTTTGCAAAGAAGCACTCTGGAATTTTGATAAATTATGTAAAATTTGTAGATTAATTTGGGAAGTATTGCCATTTTTAACAATATTAAATCTTCTGATCCATGAACATGTTTCCCATGTAATTAGCTATTTTTTAACTTCTTCCAACAATATTTTGTACTTTTCAGAGTACAAGTTTTATATTTCTTTTATTAAATTTATTCCTAATTATTTTATTCTATTGATGCTGTTGTAAATAGAATTGTTTTCTTAATTTCATTCTCAGTTTATTCAAGCATATATGGTATAATTACTTTTTATATATTGATCTTTTATCCTCTGAGGTCCCTGGGTGGCACAGACAATTTGCACTCAACTACTAATTTAAGGACAATTTGAACCCATCCAGAAGCACCACAGAAGAAAGGCCTGGCCATCTGCTTCCATAAAGTTACAGCCAGGAAAACCCTATGAAGCAGTTCTACTCTGTAACACATGCAGTTGCCATGAGTCAGAATCAACTCAATGGCAATTTTTCTTTTTTATCCTTTAACCTTGAGCTCTGGGGAGGTAGTGCCTAAGGCACTTGACTGCTAACCAGAAGGCTGGCTGTTCAGACTCACCAGCCACTCCTTGGAAGGAAGACTGGGCAATCAACTTCCATAATGATACTGCCTTAGAAACCCAAGGAGAGGTTGCTATGAGTCAGATCTGACTCCATGGCAGTGAGTGAGTTAGTTGCTAAACTAATTTATTACTTCTAATAGTTTTTTAGTGGATTCCTTAGGACTTTTTATATATAAATCATGGCATCTGCAAATAGAAATAGTTTTACTTCTTCTTTTCCAGGATTCTTTTTAAACATTGCATGCTCTATATATAGATAAACTCAAAGATTAAAAGGTCTTCAGTAAAACAATGAAAGATTATGAGAAATCGTGATAAAAAATTAATCTTCCCCATTTCTGGGGAAAAAATGCTCTGGATTTTAAACTCACTTTGACATCAATAGAACTATTGTAAGTGCACTATATAACATGGCACATAACAACAACAACAACAATATAACATGGAGAATTTTTTTTTTTTTTTTTTTTAATTTTTGAGGATGCCTATGAAACCAGTTACCTTTAATCCTATTCTTTGGGTTTTAATTGAATGTTAAGTTCAGTAGGTTTAATTGTGAATTGTGCTTTAATAAGTAAGTGGAAAATGTATGGTCCTAAGCATGGGAGTATATTTAAGCAAGCAGCTCTATTGGCACAATGGGTAAGCACTTGGCTGCTAACCAAAGGGTTGGTGGTTCAAACCCACCAGCAGCTTCTCAGGAAAGAAGACCTGGTGATCTGCTCCCACAAAGATTACAGCCTAGGAGACTCTATGGGTCATTTCTACTATGTCCTATGCCCTACTTTGTCTGCTAAGAGCCAGAATTGATATCATGGCACATAACAACGTAGTTGAGCCTAGAATCATGCGACCAAGGCAATACTGCCACTTGTTTACAGTGTACTCTCTTTTCAAGGTCTGACTTTTTGAAGATGAGTATTTCTCTTTTGTTTTGTTTTGTTGAGTAAAAGATATCTAAATTTCTAAAGGAATTTCAATTAATTTTTGGCTAGGTGTATATATTCTCAAGGGAGCTCTGGTAGCATAGTGCCTAAGGCATTTGCCTGCTAACCAGAAGGCTGGAGGTTCAAACCCACCAGCCACTCCTTGGAAGGAAGGTTGGGCAATCTACTTCCGTAGTGATACTGCCTCAGGAACCCAATGAGGGGTTGCTATGAGTCGGATCTGACTCGACGGCACATGACAACAACATGTATTCCCATGCTTTAAAATTCTAAAGCCACATGGAAAGTTTCTCTTTCACTTTTGTACTCCAGCCCCCAATTCCTCTCCCTAGTGACAACCAGTAGAAACAGTTTATTGTGTTTCTTTTGGAGATGATTTATACATATAAGAACATATATATGTTGCTGTTAGGTGCTGTCAAGTAGGTTCCAATTCACAACGACCCTGTGTACAACAGAAGGAAACACTGCCCAGTCCAACACCATCCTCACAACCGTTGCCATGTTTGAGCCCGTTGTTGCAGCCTCTGTGACAATCCCCCTGGTTGAGTGTCTTCCTCTTTTTCACTGACATCTATTTAACCATGTGTGACTTGTCCATCCTGCTAATATATCCAAAGTACATGAGATGCACTTTCACCATTCTTGCTTCTAAGGAGCATTCTGGCTGTACTTCTTTCAAGACAGGTTTGCTCATTCTTCTGGGAGTTCATGATATATTCAATAATTTTTCCCAACACCATAATTCAAAGGCATCAATTCTTATTCAATCTTCCTTATTGCAGCTTTCACATATTTATGAGTTGACTGAAAATACCATGGCTTGGGTCAGATACACCTTAGTCTTCAAAGTGACATCTTTGCTCTAACATTTTAAAGAAGCCTTTTGCAGCAGATTTGCCCATTGCAATATGTACTTTGATTTCTTGACTGCTGCTTCCATGGGCATTGATTGTGGATCCAAGTAAAATGAAATCCTTGATACATATATATGTATCTATATCAAGGATTTCATATATAAATACACACACATGCATATATATTAATATATGTAATTATGATAGGCAGAATAATCACTCCCAAAGATGCCCATGTCCTAATCCATGAAATTTATGATTACCTTATGTAGAAAAGTGGGCTTTGGAGATGTGAGTAAAGTAACAGACCTTGATATGAGGCATTATCCTAGATTATCCAGGCAGGCCCAATCTAATCACATAAGTCTTTAAAAGCAGAGTATCTTTCCCAGCTGTGGTCAGAGAGAGAGAGGTGTGATGATGGAAGAACAGTCAGAGACAGAAATGTGAGGATTTGATTTGTCATTGCTATCTATGAAGATGGAGGGAGGAGGCCACAAGTCAAGGAATGTGGGTGGCCTCTGGAAGCTGGAAAAAGCAAAGAAACAGAGTCTCCCCTAGAAATTGCAGAAAGGAACATACATGTGCTGACATCTTGATTTTAGTCCAGGGAGACCCTTGTCAGACTTCTGACCTACAGAACCATAAGATAAAAATGTGTGTTATTTCAAGCTGCTAAATTTGTAGTAATTTGTTATAATAGCAATAGGAAACTAACATAATAATATTTTCTTCCATTTTTACACACAAAAAGTAACATCAGCTATGCAAACAAATGCATTACTTTGTGTCATATTTGTGTGTCAACTTGGCTGGGCTTGGTTGAGTGGCTGGGCAGCTGGTGGTAGTTATTCCCTATGATGAGATTGGCAATCACCTCCATGGTGGGATCTACCACAAGCAGCTGAGCAGCTGTCTTAGAGATGTAGTCTGCTTCCTGTATATAAGAAGCAGCTTTGGGAATGGTCTCCAGCTTATGGCATGCTTAAACCCTGCATGTAGCCAAGTTGTTGTTCAGCAGCCTGCCATGCTCTGCCGACCTTGGGACTTTCAACGGGCTTGAATTAATGGCCTGCTGTGTGGTTTGGTAACATTGGGACTGTGCCTTTTTACTTGTCAACCTTGGGCTTGTCAGTCTCAGCAGCCAGCAGATGTCTGAGTGAAGAAAAGCCTCTAGCTTCAGTGGGCCAGAAGCAGGAGGTATAGCTGAAGTGCAAGGTTGAGGGGCTTTCACCCAGCCCCTACAGCCTGGCACTTTGAACTTGGACTTTAAGCCTCCAAATTGTAACAATAAACTCCTGTTTGTTCAAACATTCCATCTGTGGTGTATTCCTGTCAGAGCAGCACTAGGTAACCTATACATTTTAGATTTTTTTTTTTCCCATTTATCTTAGGGATAATTTCATATGACTCTTTTAAAAGAGAATATATGACATTAAGTGCCTTCATTTTTTTTTTTTTTAATCTAGTTACCTACTAATGCTCATTTAGGTTGTTTCCACTCTTTTCTTATTATAAATAATTGTAATGAACAACCATGTACACATGCCATTTCCTATATCAGAAGGATGCATTCTTGCAAGTGAAATTGCTAGGCTGAATTGCCCTCCACAGAGGCTGTAAATCAGGATGGTCACTAGGTAGGACAACTTGTGAAAGCATGAGAGAGCCTGTTTCCCATCACCCTCACCTGAACAGTTGCATACTTCCTTTAAAGTTGACTCTGTACACTTCAAATTATGAACAGAGAGCAAGCATCCAGTGGGAGAAAGACACAGGTGTTATAACTCCTGATTACCTGGCAAAAGCCTTTGTGACCAATTCCCTGTAAAAGGTCATTTGAGGAGAGTTTAGCGAACCCTGGTGTCCTAGCTCCCCACAGTGAACATAATCTGGTTTTGTACAAAATTCACAGATGCCATGTAGAATCATAAAATGTTTGAAGTGGAAGACCCCTCATATCACCTAGACCAACCCACTCCTTTAACAGATTTAGAGTTTAAATTTTGACTGAAGATAAGAGGACACTGAGAGCACATCTAAATAAAGAGCACTTTAGGAATAGAATGTGGCATTCAACCAATGCTCACACATCTGATTTGCTTTATTCCCATTTGAATCAATATCTTGCTGCAGTTGCCACTGGAAACAATACAGCCCATTTTGCCTGGTTTCCCTAAGAAAGGATTCTGCTTCTGAAAGACAACAATGAAGAAGAGTTTGCAGGTCCCCAGAGAGCCACGAGTTTTGTTCTCTTTTTTTTGTCTCTGCAGTATCTTGGAAGATGGTATGAAATTGAGAAGATCCCAGTGAGCTTTGAGAAGGGAAGTTGCATCCAAGCCAACTACTCACTAATGGAAAACGGAAACATCAAAGTGATAAACCAGGAGATGGGGTGAGTGAATGTGGTTTTAAAGACTGCACACACTCCAGCGCCAGCCTGAAGAGTGCTGTCCTGGAGTGACTTCATGTCCTAGTAGACGAGTTCAGGGAGCATGTGAGCAGTGCTGAGTCTAGGTAGCCTGCTCACAGCTGGTCCTGAGATGAAAGCACTTAGGGGCATGGGTGGGCAGTGGGGACTAGAATCCACCCTTTCATCACCATAACCATTGGCTGAGCACCTATTGTATTCTAGACCCTGTGGAAAGCTCTAGGGATTCAGCTGTATCCAAAGTGACAGCATTGCTGTCCTCATTGCAACAAGCAAAAATAACATGAAGGACCATCTTGTCTGACATCCAAACCAATAGAGAAGCACCTCTATAAAATCTGACAGAGGGCATCCAGCCCTGGGCACTTCTAGAAACTGGGAGCTCATTGCCTTTCATGACAGTTGATTTCATCTCTGGGTGTCTTTAACTATTACAAAATGTCTCTTACCAAGCAAGAATCAAATACATATGTAGTTACCCTCTAAGTTATGCAAACAGAATGTTCTGTAGGAGTGTACATTTCTATTACTGAATGCTTCTAACAAATTGATATTGGATCCCAAAATCCACAGTTTGGAAAGCAAACATAAACTGAGAAAGAGCCCCAGTAAGAACTCCTACACATCCCTCAATAACAGCAACAATAAATAATTGTTGTTGTTGTTATGTGCCATCAAGTCGGACCCTACTCATAGCGACCCCTCCTTGGGTTTCCGAGGCAGTATCACTATGGAAGTAGAGTGCCCCGTCTTCCTTCTGAGGAGTGGCTGGTGGGTTTGAACCGCCAGTCTTCTGGTTAGCAGTCAAGTGCCTTAGCCACTATGCTACCAGAGCTCCCATAATAAACAATAGTAACTAATATTTATTAAGCATCTCTTATATGTAAGGCACTATTCTACGCTGGTGGCGTACTGCCTAAGGCATTTGACTGCTAACCAGAAGGCTGGTGGTTCAAACCCACCAACCACTGCTTGGAAGGAAGATTGGGCAATCTACTTCCATAGAGATACCATCTCGGAAACCCAAGGAGGGGTTGCAATGAGTCGGACCTGACTCGATGGCATTGAGTTTGGTGTGCGTTATATATGTTACATATATTTCAAATATTTTGTCCTATTTTAACACCAAGAGTCAGACAATGACACAGGTCCTGAAGCCCATGAAATTCCTGAAGTTGATTGTAAGTCGTCTTTAACTATATATTTATTATTAGTCTAAGAAATCCAATTGCTCTGCCTGTGGGGTTGCACTTGTTTAAGATATACAAGAACATATGGGAAAAGTTTTGTTATTTCAGGAAATGGTGTCATTTCTCCTTCCAGGAGGACTCAGTCAGAATGAGTGAAAGGTGTGGCAAGGAGTCAAAGCAAGGACATATGCTTAGCCAATGTCAGAGACTTTGGGCGCCAAAAAACCCGGCACAGGGTTGGAAGCTGAAAGGTTCAGCCTTTGAAGTTAGGCTGCCTGGCTTCAAACTTCGGTTCTGCCACTGACTACCTATGGGACCTTAGCTTAGTTAAGACAGTTCTCTAGATCTCAGTTTCATTAACTGTAAAATGGCAATAATAATAGAACCTACCTCCATAGAATTGTTTGACCATTAAATGAGGCCACATATGTAAGGCACTTAGACAGTATTTGGCATGTAATAATCTTTTAATAAATATTAGTTATTATTGTTAATTTGCTGCTACTCTTCCAAATACAAATGCATTTTTCCCATGAAAAAGTTGTGAGTTTATGATCAGAGACTGGTGTTTTAAAAACTGTTCAGGAGCAAAATATAAATGGGGATGGAAAAAAAAAAAAAAAAAAGCATCTATTAGGAAGAGATTGGTTTGTTGCTAAATTACTACATGCAGATACAGCATGAGGTCCTGGTAGCAGAGCACAGTTTTAACCTAGACACTGCCTGGAGCAAGAGTACATTTCCCAACCCCCTTACCTTGCCTGTTTCGAAGACATCTATCACCACTAACCATAGTTTCCTGCCTTTCTAACACACACTGTTGCTCTGCTTTTTGTTTTCCTCCTCCTCCTCCCATCCCCTAGGACTGTTGGGCAGGCAGCTCCTGGGAAGGACACCTGATGCCTAAGCACCCTCCCGTCACTGCCTCCATCCCCGGGCGCTTGGCCCCCAGGTTCATGGGTTATTAGAAATTATCCAGAAACAGGGCCAGATCCCTTCAATAAAGTGAAAGGTATTTCATCTACTCTAAGGCACCACAAATTTTAAAACACACAACCATTTTATTAATGGCATCAATTGTAAGATGCACATGTCTTCACATAATATCTCTGAACTCTGGATACACCTAAGAATAAAGTAAATGTGTTCTCACCACTTGATTTTGCCTGGCCCACCTCAAAATCTTCCACACTCTATTGTAGGCTTGTTGAACTGGATAGGGTTGTAGAGGTCAAGCATATAAACTCCTTCGTGGGACAGACCTTATCACAAGCTGTCACTGGGGCCTAAGATGGGAGGAAGGTTGCAGATCTCTCAACTTCCTTTGTTTCATTCTTTTCAGTTCTTAAATCAGTCTCTTTTTTTCCCCCCTTTGGCCCCTTCTCATTTTTTTAAAAAATATTTCTTTGTTTTTTGGATTATTTTGCTTATTAGTTTCTTTCCTTCTATTTTACTCCCTCTTTCTTTGGAAACTGGAAGCAGGAATGACGTCTTAGGCCATTGCACAATCCAAAAAAACAGTTCAAGAAGGACCTAACATGGTATTCAATCCTGCAGCATTTTAATGATTGCTTCTTATTACTCTAAGAATGCCTTCCTCTGCTTGATCTCAGAGACAGTCACAGAGGTAAGGACGGGGAACTGGAAGCAGGGACTGACTGTCTTCAAGAGCCACTCTTCACCAACATTACAGTGCTGGCTGCTATGGTCTTTAGCATCACAAATCCTGTCTTTCATTGTTTTTTGGCTTTCAGTGAGTTCAGCTTTTTGTTTTCTTTCCTATCTTTTTTAATGATTTTTGCTTCCTTCATGCATGAAGTCCTGATTTTTATTTACATAAATTGTGGTTTGGGTGAATGTTTATAGAGCAAATTGGTTTCCCATTAAAAAATCCATACACATTGTGTTTCGTGACATTTACTGCAATCCCCACAATGCAACAGAGCTCTTCCCACTTCCTCCCTGCGCCCACCACTTTCATTCTCGCCCCCCCCCCACCTTCCTAACTTTATCCCTGGGCAAGTCATCTTAGGTGGTCTCTTCAATAGATTCACCTTATATGGCTGCTCACAGTTCAGCTCTTTCATTTGTTTGTTTGTTCTTTAAACTCATTGCAGACCCGATGGAACATTGAATCAAGTTGAAGGTGAGGCCACCCAGGCTAACCTCACAGAGCCCGCCAAGCTGGGAGTCAAGTTTTTCTGGTGTAAGTATCCACTCCTCTCCAGAGATTTTAGGGACAGGACCCTGAAGGCTAATGCCCTGGGTTGGAACATTTCTGTCACATATGAGTGTCATAATCATTTGTTGAGCACCTACTACATGCCATGCACTGGAGATGCATTGATGAGCACAACAGACATGGCACCTGTCCTTATGGAGCTTGTATCCAAGTGTGGATACTAATAAGTATGCAGACAGTTTACAATAAAACTACAGCAGGTCTTTCAACAGGGGAAGCCTGGATCAGGAGCAAATAGGGTATGAGCTGCAGGAGACCTAAGTCAGATAAAGTTAGAGGGACTTGGATGTCATGCTAGAGAGTTTGAAGTTTCTTCTGTAAGTAATAGGAGGTTGCTAAGGTTTTGTAGTAAAGAGAGGGTTGTGGAAATGCTTTATACTAAGAGGCGATACCTGGTAAATTTATTCCTGAGAGGAAGACAAAATGCACATGCCCAGGTATGTGCAGGGTAGGGCACCATGCTGCTTCTGGAAGAGCTAGCGACATGTTTTCCCAAAAATTTCTCAGGGCTGTAGAGCTCTCAGTTCAGGTGGGAATATGCAAAGCAGCTAAAATTCAAAGATAGGAGATGTATGATCAACATACACTCTCATGAGTGAGTCAGGCAGGCAGGACATCAATGGTGCCAGAAAATGGAAGCTAGAAACAACACTCAATCGAGGCCCTGCAGTCTTGTCCAAGATTCTGTCCAGACTGCCTCCAAGTGTCCTTCTGCATTTATAAACAGAAAGTCAGAGGTAGGAGGGTCCTGGGTGGGTGGTCATCTGGACTGCCTCCTGATAGTCAGCTGCATCCCTGACACTCAGAAAAGCTCTAACCACTCCCACACTGTCTCCTTTGTCCAAAGACTTCTCATGGTCTTTCTTGAATGCTGAGATCTGATTTTGACTTGACAAATGTAGGGATTATTTTTGAATGGAGGAAATAGAATCCTGAAAACAGTAAAGCAAATTACCCCTGATTATATATGTGTCTAAACATTTTATTCTTATGAGATCAAAGCACAGTTTTGTCCCATGTGGGTGTATCTTCTAGTTAACTGCAACTAGCTGGCTATGGGTTTTCTTTGGCTTGGAAGTTGGCTGGCTGAGGAAATTTCTGTATCCCAATGGATATGGTAAATCCTCCATCTCTCCACTTAAAACCAAACCAAACCCACTGCCATTGAGTCAATTCCAACTCATAGTGACCGTATAGGACAGAGTAGAACTGTCCTACAGGACTTCCAAGGCTCTAAATCTTTATGGAAGTAGACTGCCTCAGCTTTCTTCCATGGAGCAGCTATTGGGTTTGAACCACAGACCTTTTGGTTAGCAGCCCTGTGTTTTAACTGCAGTACCACCAGAGCACCTTCTCTCCACTTAAGGGCCCATTTTATCTTGGGCTTTCAACACTTTACAGATGCCATTCAAAGAATAAAAAGAGAGAGAGAGAGAGCATGTTACAAGGAAGAGCTTATAACCTGTTAACAACTGATTTGCCATATTCTTAAGAGTGGACAGATTTTCAAAAATTATACAGGAAAAACAAAGCAAAACATTAGCTCTGCCTCCTCCTTTAGACAGGTTCTGGAGGAAGTTGAGTGGTACAGACTAGGAGAGCCTGGGACTCCTGCTCTTACATTCTTGACTCCACTTAGCTAACTGGTGGTGCCCCGCTCCATAAACATTACTACCAGGAACAGCCTTTCAGTCCAAAGGGTTTAGTTAAACTCCTTAGTAACAATGGGCTTCCAGAGACCAACCTGTTATCAGGGAGGAAGGATCCAGACAATGATTCTTAACTCCAGCTGCACATTAGAATCACCAGGGAGCTTTCCAAAGCACCAACCACACAGAATCAGAATCAGGGGAGGGTGGGGAGAGATAGGCTTAGTATATTTTAAGATACCATATGATTCCAACATGAAATCAGAGCTAAGAACAACTGATCTAGGAAAAATGGAACCCCAGAGTCTGGCATCCAGCTTCCTGGAGATGAAAGTTTCTCTTGTGCTGGTCCCTCCTAATGCTGCCCTCCTCTGGTTCTTAGTGATGCCATCAGCACCATACTGGGTCCTGGCCACCGACTATGAGAACTACAGCCTTGTGTACTCCTGTACCACTTTCATCTGGCTTTTTCACATGGATCATGTTTGGATCTTGGGAAGAAACCCTTATCTCCCTCCGGAAACAGTGACCTATCTAAAAGATATCCTGACTTCCAACAACATTGCCATTGATAAAATGACCATCACAGATCAGGTGAACTGCCCCGAGTTCCTGTAACAAGGCTCTAAAGAATGCTGGATCCACTTCCTATTACTTCCTTTGCTTTGCTTTTCCCCACCCCACCCTACCCGCCATGAAAGCCAACCAACAAACCATGATGAACCATTTCAAATACCAGAAAGGAAGGTGGACAACCAGAAGCCATTGGACGGGAAGTCAAGAAAAGTTGGCCCAGGCCATGTACCACCTTGTTGTTATCTTACCAGGCTGATAATAAACTTGCTGACATGCCGTACTCACAGAAGATTTTGAATTGGATTAGTTATTGTGGGTTTTTAATTATAATCTTATGCTTAAGAATCCATAAGCAGTTATGTGCCTAAAACTAAACACTGAACTGTCCTTGTTTAAAGGTAACAATCCTGTTCCTGCTGATGACAAAGTCATATTCTTGGTGACCTGAATCCAGGTGCCCCATCCTGCAGAAGACACTTTCTGGGGGAATCACTTGTTGGGGGGTTTTGAGCTTCCCATAGGCAGTTTCCTTGGAGCTTTGCCTATCTCATCAAAAGATCCTTAGATTCAGGCTGAAGGATGGGACTATCTTGAGGTCTGTGAAAGGAAAAAGGGCATCTATGAGGGAGAAATGAGGGCATTTTTTTTTTTTAAAGAAAATCTTTTTGCATACATGTATTTCATTCAACTGATATTTACTGAAGTCCAACCGAATTCAGGGCATTGAAAAAAAGTTCTCTGTCCTCTCAGAAACTCAGTCTCATGAGGGAGACCGACAAGTGAAGACGAAATTACAATCCAACACAATGAGTCCAAAGGTTGAGTAATGTGGAGGGTGTCCTGGAAGCTCAAGCACAGGCTCAGCTCTCCAAGGCCGGATGGCCACAATACTGTACAGTCACGTCTCTGGGGGCTCCAACTTCAGGGAGCCAGCCAGGAGTCACCTTGGGTGACTATTAAAGTCACAAAGCCCTCAGAATTATCACCCTGCAATTGCATTTAGCCCACACAGCATTTACAATATACTGATGTTTTAGGAAACAAATAGGCATTTAAGCCTCTTGATTAGCTTTTTGCCTTTATTTTTAACATGAATGTAAACTATTAATTTCTTTCTGCACTTAAGACTTTTTAATGCTTTATGCAAAAAGTTGCAACAATTCCAAGGATCTTAATGTTTTAATGTGTACAACTTTCATTTAAATAAATGTGACCTCAATGTGCAGCTTACAATTCAAAAAGACTTAAAACCTTTGGGCAAAAAGGCAGTAAGGAGGATGTAGGTATTTAAGAAAACCCTTATCCTTTCTGCCCCCAGTTCGGCCCACCACACCAGACAGAGGGCACTTTTGTAAAATACAGTTATTCCTAAGAATGTTGAGCTGGCTATCTGTCACCCATTCTATGGTACAAAATAAGTTGGTTCTGATTGTTGTTTGTTGTTAGTTGTTTTGAATCAGCCCTCCTCGTGATGACCTTATGTATAACTGAACGAAACTTTGTCCAGCTCTGTGCCGTCTTCATGACCTTTGGTATGTTTGATTCCTTTTGTGGCTATTGTGTCAGTTCATCTCATTGAAGGTTCCTCTGATTTTCATTGGCCCTCTAGTTTACCAATCATGATGTCCTCTCTAGCAATTAGTCTTCCCTGATGATGTCTATCTCAGACACTATTCTATTGTCATATATAAGGTTTTCATTGGCTGATTTTTCGGAAGTAGATCACCAGGCCTTTCTTCCTAATCTGTCTTAGTCGAAGCCCCACAAAAATCTGCCACCATGGGTGACCCTGCTGGTATTTGAAATACCAGTGACATAGCTTCCAGCATCGTAGCAACACTCAAACCAATGCAGGACAGAAAGTAATATAATCCCTTTCCTCTTAACAGCTATCCAATAACATATCAAACAATGAAAGTGTAGCACCTGTACAGAGACTCAGTTTTTTAATGTGAATGAAATACTGAGTAGATGAAGAGATGGATGGAAGGAAAAGAAACCTCTGAAGCAGGCAGCCTTTCAGGAGTGACCGAACTTGAGAGAAGTGTTTGGGAATCCAGAGGGCAGCATGTGGGTACCACATATCTAGAAGAAATACAGGAAAAACTAGCAAAGAAGCCAGAAGAGGGAGGAAGAGAAGGGAAGCAGAAAATAAATAGCAAAGTAGAGACAATAATATGATAAATCCCCACTTACTCATCATCACCTTCAACAACATTTTACCAATCTTGTTTCAATGATCATCCCACCCCCAATCTTGCTCAACTATTTTAAAACAAATTCCAGTTATCACATGCTGTTATTCACCCACAACTACTTAATTGTAAATTTCTAGCAAATAGACACTTTTTAAACAAAGAAATGACAATTATGTTTTATATCTTGAAGGTGCTCACAAACTGTAATCTCCATATCATCATAGTTTTATTTGTAGCCCTCAAACTAGAAAGAGCTAAACCAAAATACCTAACAGCATAAAAATGGTGTCATGCATTATGGAACAGCCACTTGATGTAATGTCATGCATTCATTAAAATATGAAGCTATGAAAACTACACAGCTACATAGGGGCTGGTGCCTGCTGAGCCATGCTTACTGCTGCACATGGCCCTGCTGCCCTGAAGAGCTAGAGTTTAGAGCCCATGACTCCATGCCCACAGCCACACTCACTTGGGCCAGGCTGTGTCCACCTGAGCCACAGACAGCCCATCCACAGGCTGAATAACAATCTCTGATTTGTGTGACTTGACTGAGAAAGATAAATTGAACCAATCAAATCAGGATTTAACTTTGAGAGATGAGGAGAGAGGATAATAAAAAACTCTGGAACTATAAAGTCATGTAGTTTGTGGTGGTCGTTATTAGCTGTGCACAACTGAAGTGATGATAGCACAGAGCAGAAATACAGAGATCAGCAGAAACCCTGCCCAAGGCTTCTTACAGAGCAGCTTCAGCAGCAAAGGCTTTCCACATCCATGCTCCAATTTCTTCAGTGCCTAGCTGTCTTTGGTTCCTTGTCCTTAGATTCTGTAAAGTTCTGCAAGACTAGACACGCACACACAAACCTTTTTCTGAAGTAATTTAGCTTCACTGAGTAAATGTTCCTTGCAACCAAAATAAGCCTTTAAAAAAAGTGTTGACAATATATATAATATTGAATGAAAAAAAGCAGACTACAGAATTGTAATAATGCTGTATGTATAGATACATGAAATGATGGCATACTATCAAGGATTAAAAGTAAACAGAGAAAATGAAATCAATTAATATTTTAGAGTGTTGGAATCATGGGATTTTATATAAAAATGCCACCCCTAAGTCAACAACTAGAGGGTAGGCTAAAGACTTAGGCGAGGCAGTGCTCATTGTCATGTATGTTGTTGTTGTTATGTGCCGTGGAGTCAAATCTGACTCATAGCGACCCCTCCTTGGGTTTCTGAGGCAGTATCACTATGGAAGTAGGATTGCCCAACCTTCCTTCCGAGGAGTGGCTGGTGAGTTTGAA